TTGACTAATCAATCCATCACCAGCAACAGAAATCCCACTCCTCACAAATCTTAATTTGAGGACTTCCTCAGAATAAGGGGGCGCTTGAGTGTGGCTATCAAAGGTGACACTGTCACAGATGGAGATGCAAAGATTAAAACTGCAATGAGATCAGTTGGCCTCCTTTTTTCTGCTCTCAAATGTGTTTTCACAGCTTGAATTATTTCAGATGATTGCCGCCATGTGCAGGAGCAAAGGGGTAGGTCATTTGACACTGTAAGGCTGCTTTGATTAAATTAAATACAAAAAAAACTATGAAATTGAAATTGAAAATATCACTAGTTTCTCTCTTTCTCTGATACCCACCAGGTGCACAATTGGCAACCATGCATTTAAACAATATCTCACATATCTAAGAAAATAAGATTTTAAATTATCCATAAATGTAGTGCTCATTAAACTGAGAGGCAAACACCATTGACTTGAGCTTTGTGTTGTGTGTAGCTATTTGATAATATTAATAATTAAGTGGTCTGAGCAGTGTTGCTGAGTCAGCTATCAGAACTACAATTATGCTAAAGAATGATCATTTAAAAGGACACAGCATATGATACAAAACATAAATATTGAACAAATGCAGCCTAATTTGCCAACACTGATAAAACTGATCTCCATATAAGCCATATATGCTAAAAATTAGTGAATTTTTATGGAAAAGTATATACACATATATATGCTATCAGTGCATTTGGAAAACTTTAAGGAGCAAATTAAGAAAAAAACTATAAAACTCTGTTTCATAGTGTAATGCTTTAAATATGTTTAATGCACTAATGCAAAATGTCGAATACTTCTTCCTGTTATTAGCAGGAGCAACAGAAGCTTTGGATCAGGTAACTCCATTATGTTATCCTTGTTCTTTTAAGGAACTAGATCCATCAGCTAATACAATGGCACATTATGAAAGGAATGAAGAACTAGCATAGTGTTTCATCTAGGAGGAGGATAAGACAAAATGTCTCTTTAAAGCAATCTTGGTGATTTAGAAGTTTGCTGGAGCAAATAGAAAGAGCTGATGTGGAAAATTGTCTCCTAGAGATTGAGCCTGTGTGGTCTCTGTTTCTTTTCCTCTTTATATATATCTATATGCATTTTGTTTTCCTGGAAAGAGAATAAGGGAAGGTAAATCTTTGTGATCACCACTATACTTATGTTTTAAGAAGAAGACTATTGTGTAGACAGTCAAACCCTACATTTAAGAGTGGAAACGTCTCGACATTTCCCAAGCTTGCCAGCTCCAATTCTCTAGAACAAGTCTGCAAAGCCTACTGCTAAAGTCAGAAGAGTGTAAATATGATCAGCAGGGATCCTGATTTTCTCTGATTGAAAAAAAATCCCCAAACTTCAGTTTTAAAAAAGTAACCCAAAATCCATATTTTTCCATGATTAAAATGGAACACCACTATATTTAGGGCTGTGCAAAATGGGTTCTATTCAATTCAGATTCGGATTCAGCTCAAATCAGGGACAGCGATTTGATCCGCTGATTTGGATCACTGTCCCTAATTCGATTTGGTCGAATCCGAATCTGACAATTCAATGCTTATTTGGCGAATCAGCAATGAGGACACAGGCACAGCTTGACAAGTTTTTTCTACATACCTTGAGGTAGCAGGCATGGCTCGTAATCACTGTGGTGCTGGGGTACATGGAGAATCCCACAGGAGTTCTGGGAGCTCTCCAGCGTGCTCGGCAGCGAATCCAGAAGTGGACCAGAAGTACTTCCGGTCTACTTCTGGGTCTGCCAAGGAGTGTGCTGGGGGGGGGGCCCCCCATACCTCCCCCATCTTGGCAATCAGCGCAGGAGGACCCCAAGTGCCCCCCCCCTCCCCCAGATCCAGGAGGCACCAGTCAGGAGCCGCACCGCCCCCCATGCTTCTGTGGGGTGCTCCATGTGCCCCAACACTGCAGCATTCAGAGTCCCTGCTACCTAGAGGTATGTAGAAAAAACATTTAAAGCTGTATCTATGTCTGAATCACCAAATCTGTCCAAATCTCTCCAAATCAATTCGGAGGGCTCTGAATCAATTCAGAGAGATTAAAGGGTCCTCTGATTCGATTCGGATTCAGAGATTCAGACACTGAATTGGACCGAATCTCCACCAAACAGAATCAGGGACCAAAGCTTCACACAGCCCTACTATCTCTCTCTGTATATATTAGTGGCGTTTCATTTTAATTATGGGAAAATGTGGATTTTGAGTGACTTTTTTTAAACTGGAAATTGAGGATCTTTTTTATCAGGGAAAACCAGGGTCCCTGATGATAAAGGGGACCAAAACACTGGGAGAGTGCATTATCCGCATTTTCTGAAGTAAGAGAAGAAGTAAAGAATAAATGAAGTAGCTTGTTACAGAGTATGAAGTTTTGCCAGCATCTCAAACTACTTTGTTGGATTTCAAACCTGACACAAGTTTACAAATCTTTTATTCCTGTAATTTAACCCCATGGATCTACTTCAAGGGTGAGTCAATTTAAAAACCAAAGAAAACAAGCAAACAAATATTTTTTTCTAACTAAAAGGATGTAATTAGGAAACAGAGCAAGCCTGACCATCCCTAATGGAAAATATGGACTGAAGCGGGCAAAAAGCCTCAAATAGGAATTTGTTTGGCTTCCTATTTCTGAAGTACAGGCTGCAAAATTCTAATTGTGGGCTTGATCCTTCAAGGGATGGATCATCTCTCAGACTCAGACCTAACATAGGTGCCTTGGGTGCACTTCTCAAACCCCACCCCCCCAAACCCCCAAAACTATGCAGAAGGACTAAAACTACTCACTTAAATGCAAAAATTGGAAGGAAGCAAACAAAGGTCTCATTCCTACAACTTCTTGCATGCACTCAAACAGCTGCCATGCAAAAAGCTTTATCGATGTTTGTAAGGACCTTTGCAGATATTGGTAATCTGAAATAGATGAGGTAAATAATGCACAGTAAGTTGTACAATACTTTGCAGATAGTGAACAAGACATAGTATCAAGGCGAAAGAATAACTGAAAAGGCACAAGCCAACTCCCACTGGACATGTCTACACATGCATGAATGCACTGTGATTTCTGCGCATTAAGTTTAGTACCTGTTATAACAGATACTAATTAAGTGCATAGTAACTGCCACTACTGTGCCGTAGTACTGATACACACCTTTTAAGTGATACTAATGCGCAGTAGACTAATTCTACTGCACATTGGTGCAATAGCACAGTTTTTGCCGTGATGCACTAATGCACAGTAGAATTAATCTACTGTGCATCTAGCATCTTGTGTAGATGCACCCATTGAAGTCAATGAAAGTTGGAGTAAGTCCTATAAAGACATAACCACATGACTAAGCAGGTGATCACAATAGAAAAGTGGCTTGGTTATTTTCAAAAGCTCATGTTTGAATTAATAGCACAAGTTCTAATAATTTTCAATGGGACTTGTGCTTCTAAGTTATTTAGGGACTTTGAAAAATTTGACTAAATAGCCATTTTGGTCTCTTAATAGTACAGATTTAATAGAGAAACAGCTGAATAAATCTCAGAACCTTGATTTTTCTCATTAAACAAAATAGATGCATAGTTTACTACAACCCAGGGCAACCTGACAGGCCAGGGGTCCCCCAAAAACACTAACATCTAGCAAAGTTAGTTTTTCAACTAACGATTTAACCACTCACTAGTGGAAACCATGAGGATTACTTTACAGTTAGGTATTTATTCATGAATGGCCCTTGTAGGGTTTTGGTGGGGGGGTTTGTTTTTTTACTGTTACACAGTTGGCATAAAGATGCATTAATCAAAAAAACACTAAAAAAACACAGCCATGCAATCTGTTTTGTATCTGGCAGATAAACACATCTATTATTATTATTACTATTACCCTTTGTAGAATCTTTCAGACAAAGATCAAATAACTTTACAAGCACTAATAAAACATTTTTTATAATATATATCGAGTATGTTACACGAGATACTTTACTGTACATTAGACTAATCTAATGCAAAATAAAGCAACAGCTACACATTCATGGCAATTACTGTGCAGTAGATTAGTCTAATGCACCATTTTCTAGTACCTGTAGATACAGGTACTAGAAATTGATGAATTAAACTAATGCACTGAAGAACACATGTAGATGCTGACCAGGAACAAATTGCTCCCAGTCAGCCTATGCAGCAGGGGGTGACAGGAGGTGGGGAGAGCTGTCCCAGCTCAGTGGAATGCTGCTTCCCAGCCACAATAGCGGAACTGGTACAGAAATTCAATTCACTGGTCTAACCTAAATCAATTAAGTTTGAGTGTACATCAATCCAGGCCTATTTTAGACTGAGTGCCATTTTTATACCAGTGTATATGTATCAAACTTCTGTTGGTTATGGGTATAGATTGATTTTTGATCACTTAGACCAGTTTATGTGTAACTGTAAGTGACCATAGAGTTCAGGCAGTAAAACCTGACCTTATAGACTAATTCAGAGGGGTATAAGCTTTTGTAAGCAACAGCTTGCTTCATCAGATTACAGTTTGATTCACCTAGTCCAGGGGTTTTCAACCTTTTAAAATAAATGTATCCCCAGCAGCTGGACATGGAGAGGGGCGGGGACTAGCGTGCAGCCGGACATGGAGTGGTGGGAGTGGGATTGGTGCATGGCCGGATACAGAGCAGTGGCAGCACACGGTGCTGGGTAGCAGCAGAGGCCACCATGTGCAAGCTTCCCCCTCCCCCATGTCCAGTTGGCTGCGTGGCACCTGTGTGGCCCATAGAGGGATGCTGCTGCCCACCCCCGCTCCAGCCCTGCTCCCTGCCCACCCACAAGTACCCCCTAGGGCGTTCCCAAGTACCTCCAGGGGCACATGTACTCCTGGTTGACAACCCCGACCTAGTCCTTAACACAGCATAACTTCAAACAGTATAGAAATCTTAATTTTTGGCAGTATGATTATACAAGTCATTAGAATATTTCTGCAGTGTTTACCTTTGCAGTTGCCCCTGTAAGCAATTTCCAGCTGAGGATCTTTGCATTTTGCTCGTTGAAATTCACACCGAGAAAGGAAAGTCCTTCCATCCGAAGCACAGACTGACTTCTGAGGGGATCCTGCACACTCCAGGCTGCATTCTCTGTCTTTGTCTTGGTCCACTCGTAAAAACTAAATAAAAAAAAAAAAAGCCATGAAACTTTAAAAAAATCACTTCTGCAGCCAAGGGTCATCAACACAAAGTGTTTTTTGAGCTGATCAACTACACCAGAGAATGTGTGCCCATACAAAAATGAAAAGGACATCTGTCTTCCTCCCATACTTTAACAGTAATTAGCTGAGTATTTCTTGATTTGGGATCATTCAGTTCCTAATATGAAATTCTTGTAATTAAAATACTCCTGCTATATATACTGGTAGTTTATTTAATATTTTAATTATGGTATCTCTGAGTATAAAAAAATCCCTGTGGAAAGAACAATGATGGATTGGGTCCTTCTGGGGCAAAATTACCGAGTCTGCAAAAACAGAATCCGTCTTAAATAGAAATTCATGATTAATGTAATCTATTAGCTACTAGCTCTGGGTTAAACAGAATTGTAGTTATGCTACCTTGCTGTGTGTGTTTTAGCCTCCTCCTGTACTTGTGTCAAAGACACAATGCTTAAATTGATACCTTGTTATGCATCTGTGAATTCAGAAGTGGCTGGAAGTCAGTAACCCCTATGGAGGTCTTGTAGACTCAAATGGACCCTATGGCTAGGGACAGACATTACACATAAACTGGTCTAAGTGATTGGAAACTGGTTTAAACCTGTAACAGAACAGATATTCAGTGCACATAAACCAGTTTGAGAGTGACTGAAACTGGTTTGAGATAAACCTGGTTGAATGCAGTATCAGATTTAACTGATTTGGCTCAAACCAGTTTATGCAATGTCTGTCCCAGACCCCTTGCTGGTTTAAATTAAATCAAACTCCCCCAGCAGCCCAGCATGCTCTCTGGGCTGGGCGGGGCTCTCTGCTCCACAGCCGAGCTGGGCCCCCCCTCTCTGCAGCTCCGGCAGCCTCTGCAGGCATCTGCCTGGCTTCTGCTCCTCCCCCCCTCCCCTCCCAACTCTCTGCCACCCAGGCATTCCCCTGTCCCACACAGACACCTCTCACCATTAGCTAGCAGACCACATGCTGGCTACCTCAGAGCTGTGGCACATAGGCCAAAGGCAGAATCAACAGATAGCTGGTAATATCCCTCTGTTGCTTTCTTAATGGGCTGATAAACACTGAGTTAAGAGTGATAAACTTTCCCTGCTGGGCTGGTTGGGGTGAGGGGAGGGGGTTGGAGGGGACCCCTCCCTAATCATAGCATTCTGCCAGGGCTTGGCCATGCCCCCCTCTACTCAGCTTTGTCTAAGGGAAGGGAGGGCTGCTCTAGTGCCCCCCTAACCCCCAACTTCCAGCCTGAACCACAGAGGCATGTGCCTGTGTTTCTGGGATGTCTGTCTGCTTACAAAACTGATTTAGCCTAGCCAGGTTAGACTAACCTGCAAAGATTGAATCAATTTAGGCTAAGGCTTTTTGAATGTCTCTCCCTAGTCTAAAAGAGTAGCCACAGATGAATCAGTTTATGCTAACACACTGGAAATTCTATACTAAGTTTTGTATAGGTGAGGTCAGTATTAGTATTCTGCTCAAACTATTCCCGATGGCATCATGGCTAGACTGTTGTCTGTGGCCATAGGGGACAGGACTAAGAGCAATACACTCGAGTTGCAGCAGAGGAAATTTAGGTTGGATATTCAGAGGAAGTTTCTGATTCTGTGGGTGGTCAAACATTGGAAAGGACTACCTAGAGAAGTTGTGGAATCTACATTCCTGGAAATTTTCAAGAGGACGTTGAACAGACACTTGGCTGGGATGGCTTAGTCAGGGATGATCCTCCCTTCGGGTAGGGGCTGGACTAGATAACCTTGTGAGGTCCCTTCCAGCCCTACATTCCTATGATACTATGGGAAGGTATACAAATAAAGGGAGAAAAGGATATTAGAAGTAAAACCAAGACTGTGGACTTCAAAGGACCTTCCTATAGTGTAGTGAACAGGAACTAGAACAGGGGTTGCCAACTTTTTGGGGCAAAGTACCAAAAACACCCACAACCTCGACTTGTGATATGTTAGCATGCCAGGGGTAGACAGCAGGGGAGCTGCAAGGGGCCTGATTCTTGTTGTGGCAATGCAACCCTGGCCCTTTCCCCAGTGTCCACCGCGAGATGCATTTACAAGCAGAATGTCATCATATGCCACACTGGCAGGCCTGCCAGGGGTTTTCAACCCCTGAACTAGAGGTTTACCCTTACAACACATATAGTATTCTTGCTATTGAATCTTCTAAGAGGTTTAATTAGCAACATTGGCTACAACTTGTTTATCAAAACCCTGGGAAACAGGCACAAACAGTATTTCAAGTGATTATTGGTGCTTCCACCCAACAGTGAAGAGTACTTCAAAATTCAATTGATGAAGATTTCAAATGAGAGAGTTCTGTCTGCCCCACTGCCAGTGCATCTGAGGGATAATGGCTGCCCCTGCCTCCCACATGAGCCTTTTTTTGGCCCTGTGCAAAGTCCCTTCATTGGTGTGCAGTGAGGCCAGCACAAGACCCATACACAAACAACACCCTGCACGTCATTAATTCCTCATGGGATAAATGATACTGGCACGGTACAGGAGTTATTTGCTGACCTCTCTGCATCAGGGTGAATTTCACCCAGAATAAAAGTGAAGGCTGCTTGATGCAGTATAAATCAATCACACATCTCTGCCAGGAATGGAGAGGAGAATGTTATAGATTGTGGTACACCCATAAACTCATTCCCCAATACAGCCTTCACTGCTTCACACAAAGCCTATCCCCCGTGCATTTGGAGTGGAGCGAGTTCTGCAAAGGTAGCAAAAGAAAACTGTATTAGAACATCTGGTCTCCACTATTCTGCCCTCCAGCATCCTCTCCTCAAGCTATACAGTCAGAGGGAAGCAAATACGGGCTTTGATGGAGGTGTTGCTGTCAGGTTGCTCTAGCTGTGATTTACAGCAGATTAGACAGTAAAGAATTTTGCTTGCTAATTTCTTTCCCAAATCACATTGAACGTGCTAAATGATCACCAGTTTGGATTTTAGTCTCTGAAGAGCTGCATAAAAGCTTAATGTAGTTCTTGGAAAAGGGGAAAGAAGGATCTGATTACATTGAAACACATTTTCAAAACCCCAAGTTGTTTTGATGCCACTTTCATATTCAGCCAGAAATGAGCACGAGGCATTTATTTTCTGAGCACCAGAAAGGCTGGTGCTGTGGGGGAGGTGAAACCACTGGATCCTCAACCAAATTTCTCTATCGTTTTGCTGTTTTTTGGATAAGGAATAAGGTATGAAAGGCATGCAGTTACCAGGAGATAATCACAGTGGAAGGTATTAAAGGCACAAGGAAACGGACTTTACAAAATGTCATCAACCAGCTGAAAAACTGCCTTGATTTTAACAAGTATATACTGTTATTTCATTACCAGACCTTTTGGATATAGAATGTTTTAAGCTTTATTTTACACAGCAACACTAACGAGAGGGGAAAGTTTTGAGCAAGGAAGAGAAACAAAAGCAGAATGTAAGCATCCAAAATATACACACTTACATCTTGCATGCAATGGCCTCTGAAGGAAAACTTTACTTATGTCCTTTATTGTAGTAGGGGAAAAGAGAGTCATAAATCATTCTAATTATCATGCTTAAACTATCATATATTTGCATTTCCTAGCACTTTAAGTGAAATGCAGATGTCTTATGGCAAGACATGATAATCATCATTTTCTGTGAACAGAGGAACAACCTCACAACGTGCATTTAAAATGAATATTCATATGGTAAATATTTGACCATAAGTTTCATATTTTAGTGGCAAAACAATAAACAATAAAAGCATGCTTTTCCTGCAGCCTTCATGCAGGTCTCTTACTCCTCCTCCCCCTGTTTAATAATGATCACTTTTAAGAACAAAGAACTTAGCTTCTCGAATTTAAAAAAAAAAGAAAATTTTGCTTTGTTTCTGAATTTTAGCAATAAGATTTTTTTTCACTTTTACAAATACTGCATGGTTCCTAGAGGTGCCCAGATCCATTGATTTTGGGAACCATGCAAACACTTAGCAAGATGGACTGGAACCACAGAAACTGAAACTTTCTCCCTTTGCTCACAATGCATGCAAAGGTGAACTTCGACATGCCTGCAACCTATGCAGACAACAGCACTGGTTGGTCTCTATGATCACCCAAGACTTTGATCCCAAACCTAATGAAGTAAATGGCAAGACTTCTTAGAAGTGAAAGGATGATGAAGGGCTCTTGAAAAGAGCTCAAATTTGAAGTCAAAGGAGCCAGACTAGAAGGAGGCTGTGGCAGGAGAAGGCAGCAGTTATAGGGCAGGAGTGGGTGCATCAGTAGGTTTATCACAGAAACCTAATGCAGGAAGGAGTGCTGAGTCCTGCTACAGCCCCTCCCAGGCCAGCTGTGCAGGCTTCTCCTAGAAGCAGAAGTGCATGGGGCAGTTCAACCTGGTGCCAGGTCAACCTGGAGAAGCACAGGAAACATGCAGATAAATCTCCAAGCTGCCACACACCATCAGGTGGACCTGTTTTGTGTGCCTCTGTTTCCAGGAGGAGCATGCAGAGCCATACAGGAAAGGTCTGAGGCAAGAGTGGGCTCCTGTATGCATAAGGATTTTCAGATCTCTTTAATGCAGGCAGGGATGCCCCCTCCTGCTACAGCCACTTTCCATTCAGGCTCTGCACTTCACATGAGACATGTAGGGCACTGTCACCTGGCTGAGGCAGCATCACCATCACCCTGGTTGAGAACCACTGAGATAAGCTGAAGCAGTTCAATAGTGCTTCTCAACCAGGATGATGCCAAATTCAGAAAAGTTATGATGGGTTGAGAACCACTCATCTAGGTGAACTATTGCTATATAAAACTATAAAAATAAATAATGAGCAACAACACATACACCAGAAATCCTTCTCCAGAACATTGCTAAAGTTCATGCACTGACAGCAAATTATTTTGGATGGTGATGGAAAGCTGTAGCTTGAGAAGAATCAAGTTACACCAAATGAACCAACCTGTTGCA